TTGATTAACATTAGTGACATATTCAGCAGCAGGTATTTATAGGCTGCTGTCCCTTTAAAACCAACTGCATGGATCCAGTATAATGATAAACATCCGATTTCTTTCTCAGCTGTTTACATTAATTTAAAACATAACCGACTGCGTTTACGAGAATGATCGTAGAGACAGGTACTATTGACATAATTCTGTGTGTATGTGTCTGTTCAAACATAAAGAGGAGATGCGAAAGACGAATAAACTCGGTGTTCGCACGCTGTCTGAAACGCGTCTCTCAGGTGTGAGTCAGACAGCAAGACAAGACAGCAAAGAGTTGTTTTCTGCAACTTATTGCACTTAACTCTTTTTAACGTCAAGCTATTCTCTGCTATATGCTTCGAACTAAAACTTTGACCTTTTGCAACGTTTTGATTTAAGTAGCCTATTATTCAAATTATTCAGATATCACACGCCCTTGCGATATGCATATCGCGATGTTTACATTTGCGATATTTCGATAATTTCGAGATATTGTGCACCCTACTACTAACTATGAGTAACCTTGCAACTACATGTCAACTAATTCTCTTTAATTTGCAACTACATGTCTACTAACTTAGACTGTTAGGTTTAGGGTTAGTAGAATAAGTTGACATATACTTGCAAAGTTTCTTATAGTCAGTATGTTGTATGTTGTGGGCCCATCAAAATAAAGTGTTAGAAGACATTAAGCAGACAGTCTAATACTCTAATGACTGCTAGTTGACATGTAGTTGCAGTTACTTACTGTTAGTAGAATGTCTAAAGTGGACTATCAAAATAAAGTGTTATACCAATGTTAAAATGCAATTCATACATAGAATGTCCTGAATACCTATCCACCATATTATGTAATGCAACTCCCCAAACTTAATAACTCATATTTTTTTAAATAATAATTTTACCTTGATTATTATTTAAACCTTTTTACCTTGATTATTATTTAAACCTTAATAACCTATTTATTTATTTATTTTAGAAACCAACTATTAATGTACACATGTTGTTAAAATAGTAATAACAAGAATACTATTAATATCTATTTCTTTATTAGTAAATAATAATTATTTCGTAAATATATTATTAATTTTACCATGATTTTTTTTATTTTAGAAAATAAAGATTAAGCTGTGTACATGGTTTCATTGTGTAAGCAAAACGTTGTTACCTTACCAGAACTTAATGACATTTTCTTAAAGATGTTTTAAAAGTTTTCATAATCATATAAAATTACACAAATGCAAAGAGAAAAAATTATCCTTTTTTTTTTTTTTTTTAAATTAAGAGTTTGGCACATTTATTTAACTACAGTTTTCTTTTTTATTTATTATGGACACTAATTGACAGCAATTGATTTGCTTTCTTCCTTAGCTTTAAATTTTCTTATGTGCATTTTCAAAACATTTCTAAAAGCCCATTGTTCCGGACATTTGAAATGCTTGGTCATTGTTTACAGATGTACATAGTTTAAAAAAAAAATGTCAAAAACTGAGGGTAAGAGAAAAGAGAAAGTAAGTGGGCTTGTTACGATGACAGTAAATTCGGAACCTTCTTCTGGCATGTTTTGTTATAACTCTGAATAGAAGTTGAAAGAATAACTCCACTTGCTTGCGTCACTGGAGTGTCTGTGAGCTGCTCGTTTTGGTCGGTTTGCATGAGACGGACTAATGACACAGACAAGAGGTTTGGTCACTTGGCTGAACAGTCTCCATTGAGCTTGTCATTCAAGCTTCTGTTTGTGGAGGTTTTCTTTCTCCTCCATCCTCCTCTCGTCTCCTCTCTTTCCATCTTTTTTCTCTCTCATCTTTTGACGCGATGATGGAGATGTGTGTCCCAGGTGGCCCACTCATCAAAACAGAAGGGATCTGGCTCCTTATTTCAGACAAAAACATCACACTCTTTGTTGTCCAAAGGAAAAGATGTGGATGAGGATTTACCCAGGAGAATCTGCCCTCCCCATTGCCCACCAAAAGCCGTCTCCGCCCCCTGCCGTCAAAGAGAAATGTCAATCAAACGAGGGCATGAGGTCTGTTGAAAAGGTCATCCAGTGGTGGTCATTTCAGCCATTGTGTTCCTCTCATGAATGGAAAAGACAATCCAATGTGTCCAACTGACCTCACTTTGGACTAACTCCCCCTTCAGATATACTGAGAGGAAGATTTAGACATCTAGACGCAGCATTGCAATTGTTCGTGAAACACAGGTCCCGGAGTCCTTGAGAAGATGATGAGCTTGAGGCTGCACTTTTATGAAGATTTATGAGCAGCTCTTGGAGGTTTTTAGATGTCTAGGTATGGCACATTCCATGAATAAACTTTAGTGTCTCTCTTTTTTTTTTTTTAGATATTAAATTATGTAACATGCCTCACTTCAGAGGCCTGGACCCTTTTGGTTGTATCTAACAATTAAAATCATACAGCAATAGCATCATTGTGACATGATATTTAGCCATGCCACACATTTTGTGTACAATGATCTTACCACCTGAAATTTGTTTTTTACATTTCTTAAAAATGTGATACACAAAAAAACGATTATTAGATAATTTCTGAAGTATGATGGCGAAGATAAATGTTGTATTATATTTATTTTCTTTATATATAATATGTATATATATATATATATTATTGTGTACATTTTGCTGACTATACTGATTTAATGTTTAATGAAGATGTTTTACTTATATTTAGAGATTTTGGCTACAGGCTTGCAAAAAGTGGCAAACCTCATTAAAATAAAAAAGAATATCAAATGTAGTTTGACCTAGATTTGGCAGGTTGATTAAAAAAAAAAACAGGTTTAATTTTGTACCCCATTCATTGTAAGTGGCAGTCAAAAGTTTGGTGTGAGTACTTTTTTTGGAAAGAAATTATTTTATTCAGCAAGGATTCATTAAATTGTTAAAAAGTGACAGTCAGTACAATTATCATGTTATTTTGTTTCTTGAGAATAATTTCTGAACAATAATGTGACACTGAAGACTGGAGTAATGACTGCTAAAAGTTCAGCTTTGCCATCACAGAAAAATAGAAAATAATTATTTTAAATTGTAGTAATATTATTCACAATATTAAAGATATCAAAATATATATATATAAAAAAAAAAACGTATAAAAATTCTTACCAACCCCAAATTATGAATGGTAGCATATTTTTTCTAAGAAAAATTATCTTTTACAAAATTCAGTAAAAGCTTTCCTCTGTCCACTCACTACAGACACACCAAGCAGTTTATTTATCTTCTTATAATGTGTGTTTAAGTAATTATTTCTCACTAATTACTTAATTGTTAAACCAAATATCATACCATATGGAACCATTTAACATGGCATGAGACCTCCAGTGACATGGATTCCTTTGAAGAGACCGCAAATAATCCCCATTCAATGAAGCACTGAATGTGAATCATACCATGGGACACTCAATTAATCGTTATCGTCTTGTAAATATTTGATTACTCTATTTAAAACGATCTATTTGATTTCCTCTAGAGCTCTCCGCCAAGCCCTGTAGGTGGATTATTTCATTTTATCCAAACAGTTTATACCAGGCCGCGGCTTCACTTACGACACTATGTGGGCTGCTTACAACTCAGAGATACACATGAAACATGAGGTTTAAAAAAAAAAGAGCAACTTCTTCATCATCACAAACACAGTTTCCCAGGACGCGAGACACCTGGGCTTTATAAATTAAACTGAGACTATGATGACGATGTTCAGAGTATATTAGGTGTATAACAAGTCAGGTTTTGCAATGACGTCTTAGTAGAAAAGAAGTGGACTTTCTCAGAACATGAAGGACCCACAGCATGTGTCAGAAAATACAAGTAGGTAAAGAGATGAGAGGGAAAATTCAGTGAACCTACTGTCGCTTTGAAGGCGAACGAGGGGACTGATAATGAGAAAACGCTCAGGGTGACAGAAAAAGTGGGTTTGAAGGGGAGAGAGGATTAAGGTTAAAAGTCACAAAGGTCACACAAGAAACCAGTTCGCATCCACTCTGCTGATGCCTAAAATACTAATTGAAGGCACGGGAAAAGACGTCTAATGGATTAACAGCAGACACATTTATTCCCACGTCTCAAGAAAGTGATTAGTTTTTTTTTTCTGAAATAGAAAGTTGGCCAATACATTTTAGATCAATTCAGAAAAAGTATAACAAAAAGTATAGACTATTTGTTTGCATATTTGGGGAGAAGTATATACAAATAGGCTATTGATTACAGCCTCAAATACAACTGACTGTCTTGAGTTCTAGATCTTCAAAACAAGGAGACTGTTTATAACAATCCTAGCTCATTGTTTTTTTAGGATTTACCCTGCAGCCACAGGACGTCAGGCTGGCAGACTATTCTCCAGAGAATTGAGCTTCTCAGATCAGTAATCTGTCTGGGAATCCCTTCTCACTATTACCAAACCCAACTGGTTAACAATCTGTGCTTCAGTTGTTACATATGCTATGTTCACATTTTTTTGTAAAGAAATTCATACTTTTATTCAGCAAGGATGCATTAAATTGATCAAAAGTGGCAGTAAAGACTTACATTGTTACCAAAAATCGAAATACCAAAAATATTTCAAATAAATGCTGTTATTTTGAGTTTTCTATTAATCCAAGAATTCTGAAAACGATATCACAGTTTCCACAGAAATATTAAGTAGCACAACTATTTCAACATTGATAAAAATAAGAAGACAATCATATTAGAATGATTTCTGAAGGATCATGTGACACTGAAGACTGGAGTAATAACTGCTGAAAATTCAGCTTTGCCATCACGGGAATAATCTACATTTGAAAAAAAAAAAAAAAAACACTTTTTTTTTTTATTGTAATAATATATTTTACAATATTACTGTTTTTAGTGATCGAATAAATGGTGTCTTGAATCCTACCACAAAGTTCTAACAACTTTTTTTGGCTCTAAATATTAGAGCTGTGGCAAAGGACATCCTATTAAAGATACCTTAACTGTGTCACAGGTTGATGTCTATACAGACGTGGACAGACTGAGTTCTTCAGGCATGTCAGGCTGTTTCACATACACAAGATTAAGTAGCAAAAGTGACATCCAAGACCAATCGGGCCACCCAGGAGAACTGCAACCAGCGGAAAGGCTGTCAGAGCCCCCCTTTACACCATTAATCTTCAAGCTTCTCCTGTGCTGCCAACTCACATCTCCTTCAAATGGGACAGGAGAGTGAGAGAGGGAGGGAAATGGAGAAAAGTAAAGCCACTCTGTTTTTTCCTTTTGCTTTCCCATAGATTAACTCTTTGAGACAATGTGTTACTTATCAATTGTGTTTACTAGTATTTCGGCACAGGTTGGGTTTTCTCATATTGTCTTTTATAAATAAGTATTATGATCTTTATATAATATAAAGTATGCACAGCTTTGACATTTTGATATCTTTTGATGAAATAATAAATGATAAAAATATAATTATTACTAAAAAAAAATTATAGATTGAAAGACAATCTAAATGCCAAAATATATTTTCAGATAAGGTGAACATCATTCACATCATTTTATAACTTTAAGTTGGCCGAAACAAAAACAATCCTTGCTGATTTGGAAATCAATGTGTTTATGTCCCAGACAGGACCACCTCACTCACACCATCTCTGTGGTGGTAGATGAATGGGCCTCATTAAAGCAAAATGGAGATTCCAGCACTGAAGTGTGGGGATGGCCCTTGGACCTTTCAATTCTTTCACTTATCAATAGGTACTTTGATCTCATGCTTAGAGAAGATTCCCGGTCCCTTTACTGGCGACGCATATATAACCTAATGACAATGAATGGTGAAATACAGAAGTAAAAGAATGATCCAGTAACTGATAAATAGCGGAAAATTAGTGTGTTATGTTGTGGCATGCCTGAAGTCCCAAAAGAGGGCTGTCTTGCTTCAGTCCAGTTCTGTGAACTGAGGAGGAAATCGACCCATCTAGAGAGAGCCTTTGAAGTTCATAGACCTGAACTCAAATTAAGGGACATGCCATGGATGCTTGCTTTTTTTTCTTCTCCTTTTATAGAGCCTTTTTTCCCTATTGTTGGGATATAGTGGCTAGATATTTGGAGGAAATCAAGTTAAATGTAAAAGAAAGCATGAAAGTTATTTTATGCATATTTTGCTTTATATGACCTGCTTCACATTCATACATTAAGCTGCATGTTTTTAGAATTTTAATGTGAGGCCTACTGATTACAGTCATTCAAAATAGTAGACTGCTTCCATTCTTTTTTCAATAATTTGTTTAAATAAACTGCTTTTCTATGACATTTCTGTACAACAGAAATGTTATTTGCTCTCATAATTATCAGTCACTAGACACCACAGGTGTCACTTTAACTAAAAAAATCACCATTTGGTGATTCAGCCATATGTTAAAAACGCGTGTAATTGTTAAAACCGATGTAATGAATTAAATTATGGGGAAAATGTACTTTTTTAAAATACAAGTTATCACCCGTTCGTACTAATTATGCCTCATTCGATGCTTTGGGTGAGCCAAAATTCCTTAACTAGGGCAAATGATGCAACCACACAAAACAGCGCGAAATCAAATTCAGGCGTTATAAAGAGTCATTAGCTCTGTATCAGAAACAGACACCTCCAGAGATGCTGTAATTTTCACTTGTAGTTCACTAAGAATTTCAGACACTTTTAACTCAAAAGTTTGAACTCTGCCTTCATGAAGAGAAGAAATACGCATCGCTTAAGTTTGGACGCTGTGTGTTGCCGTACAGCGCAAGTCAACATGGCGTCTTCAATGTCATTCTTTAGTTTAAGCCGAATGATCTATCTTAACTCTGTCACAAAAATATTTGTGAATCCTGCCAGGTAAAAACCAGTAATTCAAATAATTGTTTTGTGTTTGTATATATACGTGCAAAGAAACAATGCTCGGTTTGTTTGTTTATCTGTTTAGAGTTACACTGTTAGCTGGTTAGCTAACTGACATAGCCAGAGTGTCATCTCTTAATTCTCTCATAAAAGATGTCTGTGTGACGAACACTAACAGATAGTATTGTCCCGCCTTTAAATGTAAAAGGTTGTTACGTGTGTAACGTGTTGTTAGTCATTTGTAACAGATAGAAATGAAACTGACCAATTTTAGTGATAAATACCGTTCTAATTTTCCTGAGCAGGTGTGTTGGTTTATATTTTCAGAAGTCATTGTGATTGTAACAGTAACTTATACGTTAGCGGTTTGTGTGAAGGTTAGCCCATTGACCTTCTGTATAAACGAAAATACAGACTCTTCATTATGTTACTGTAAACTGAATCTAGTAGAGGTTAACCTTTGGATTGTTACCTATTACTTACTATATAATCTAATATAGAAGTTCTGAAATTTGCAAGATAATGCTCATATCACTTTGCAAGACCTTTTATTGACCAGCTATGTAGTCTGCGCATGTTGGAAATGGTGCTACTGTCCTCTAGTCCCGATTAACTTAGCTTTAGACTTGAGCTTTTCTACTGTAATAATTCTAATATGATTTTTTGATTTAGTCAAGATTGTTCTCATCTTAAATCGTATTTCTTCTGGCTAGATATCAGATCAGGAGCCAGCAGGCACGGTGCTGACTCTAACTGATAGTATGCATTAACATAAAACAAATAAAATCTTGTCAGAAGATGTAGGTTCTGCACAAGACATTGCATGTCATTTCTTTTTCAGGAATAATTATGATCAAAATAATATTACGTTTTTAAGAGTATTTGTAATGCTGTGTGGTGAAGGTAGTGGTGAAGTTTTGATCTGTGGAAGTAGAAGTCATGCTTATGGGAAATGTGGGTTTGAGTGTGACCCCCCTCTTTCTACACATGATTTTCAGTCTATCAATAAAATGTCAAAATATATCATATATATTTTGTATGCACAATGCTGAAATCTGTCAGGTGTTTACAGTACGTTAAAATGCACACAGACTCTTCTTTTATCCAGCATCTTCCTTTGTCTTTCTTATTTTGCAAATTAAATGAAAAATTGTTTTTTTTTAATATTCATAAAATGTAGGTTCTAAACATAACTCTTTTGGTTGCATAACACATTGGATCTTATTCATGAAACAAAAACAGAGCTGATTTCTGTTTAAATAATTTTCAAAATTATTCTTCTGTAAATCGTTGCATTCATTCAATGCACCAGTTTATATGGGAACATAATTCTAAACAATTTAACACAGAAGTTCACTCTGCTTGTGTTTAATGAATATTCAATTTGACTGGAGGTTTGTGGTCTCCTGTCAGAGTCAGTGATTCGAATCCAAATGTGACCCTGGCTGTGAAAACCCAGCTTTTTTTTTGAGTTACTGTTTTCTACATAAAATCATCCTTCATACGGTAAAGAACATTCTGTGAAAATGTAACCTTGATATCTTTAATATTGACCGAGTAAGACTATGTCAAAGATTGAAATCATAGTGAAATTACTGGTTGAAATCAAACTTTGATGCTTGTTATCTCGTAATTAGATTTTGAGACTTTAGCCTGGATTTCACAGAGAGGGTCACAAATTTGAAAGCAGCTTTACATTTCCTCACCTGCCGGCCATGTGTCATTCACTTAAAATCCAAATGAGAGATCAGTGAGTGCTTCTGTCGCTAGCCATTCAGAATTATTGTTTGTTTATGACAGACCAGTTACTGTTTCATTTCAAAGGCTGTGACTGTAGACTGGCAGGATGACACCAATGGCTGTTTGTTTCTAACTGGCTTATAGAAGTCTGCCAGAAACTCAGCAGGCAGAATTAATGAGGGCAGAGGAGAGAGCTGTGTGGCTTCCTCTCTCCTGTCTCTTGACACGCATCCCCCTCCTTCAAAACACTCTACTGTGCCGTTGTTTGTACCTACATACAAGTTTGTTTGTGTGTGTCTGCTTATCTCTATTATTTAAAAAAATTAATCTTCCTGTTTTGCAGGTCAATATGCACGTCAGGATGGAGGCTGGCAGAACAACAGGGACAGGGATCCCAGCTCATCACCGTGGATGAGAAACTGGTATACACATTGGCTGTGCTTTTCTTTGGGTACTGGGTCACGATTCTTAAATGCTTTTGTAATTATGTAAAAGTTAAAATTCTTCATCACTGGTTGGAAACCAAATATAAATATCTTTTTTTTAGTATATTTTATTATTAAATTAATTTAATATTAATATATATCTATATATATATATATATATATATATATATATATATATGTGTGTGTGTGTATGTGTGTGTGTGTGTGT